TACTCAGGTCCCATGCGTAGGACGTGACCGAGCCATCTCAACTGGCGTAACAAAACCAGTTTGTTGAAGGAACACCATCCGGCCTGGCACGGAAATGGAGGCCGAAAGGTCACCAAATCTTCCATTGCCACGCATCTTGCGGATACGGGTCAAGCCACCAAGTCGGCTGACTCGTTCAAAGTAATCTATCAGGCCCCGGAAAATCGATCAAGGTATTTCCGTAAGTGGATATTAGACGCCGCAGAAGCCATCGCCATTCGGCTGTACGAACCGGCACTGTGCACGCAGAAACGGTTCACTCACGCGTTGAGCCTATCTTGGCCAGGACGGACTGCAGTTGACCTGTACGCACGTACGAATACAACTGCAACCTAACCGAAGGTGTGTCACAGCGCACTAAGATCAATTCGGTTGGCTGACGACCCGTTGGGTCTGTATACAAAAGTTTGCATTTCATGTAATTGTACAAGTCTGCTGAAGAATTGTCGAAAACATATGTTCGCTTGCACAGACTTCTGATTAATCAATGGGTTTTTCTATTCAATACTTGCACTCCCCAAGATGTGACGTCGAACATCGTTACTATTAACTCGGTGTTGCCACCAAACACGAGCAATCTGTTGTAACGCTTCTTCTTACTTTTGCTATCTGCCACTGACGACTGTTGTACTGTTGCTACCTGCCCTATGAGACTGCGACTGTCTGACTTCTCAGTCACGCGCCAACTCAAAAGATGGAATACAGAAAACCAAGGCTCGGTAAACACGGATTCTATCTACACCATAAGTAAACTCAATTTATTTATGGGTAGCCGAAACATGCTAATTTAGGAGGTGAAGATCGCTCATTTTTGTGCGTCCGGTTTTCAGCCAGTGTGAATGAGTTCCACTCCACGGGTTTATCATATCGACGGGATAGTTCGATTAGTTTTACGCGGACTGTTAATTGCTGGCCGATAAATTCTCAGTCGATACCAAACTTTAGCTCCGCTTACGTCTCTATTACAATCCGCCTTAAGCAACCGTGTTCGAAGGCGGAAAGACGACGCATGTCTTCCAGGCGAATTGGTCAGGACTCGCACCCATACAACAATACTGAGCGAACCGATATGCTATAAACGCGGCCCTTTAGCGAGAATGAGACGTCGTGACGACGCCCCAAGTGCCTCAGATTGACAAATGTTGATCGAGCTTTAGCGATGCGAAGAGAAACTTCTTTGTTAAAGTGCCAACAGCAAAAAACAGCTCCCAAGATAGAGGAAACCATCTACCTGTTCAAGTTGTCCACTTTAGAGAGTGAGCACGGGAGTAGGTAAAAGTCAATCCTTGAGCGAGTGATGGTGCTCGGTCCAGCGGTCCATACGCCTCTGTTATTTGGTGATCGGAGACGCATCCGCCTCACAAATGATCTCACTGACACCAGGCTTCCTGATGCCAGTGGACCGAATGAGTTGGAAAAGCCTGCGAGTATTGCCAGAGAGGACAACGGTCTCCAGCTCTAAAGCACGCTCAGACCACCATGTCTTGCCATCCTTGCGTAGGCTTTGCTTGAGCAGCCGGTTTGCAGAACGGCGCTGCTCGTTGCAATCTGATTCCACCAGGATATCTTTGTGGCGTTCCAACAACTCCAGAGAACGAGCGGAGACCCAAGCCTTTAGGAGCATCAAATTAGGCCGCAGCTTGACTGTCCGGAAATGGTCGTCGCTTTCCGTATAAAAGTCCAGTGTTGCTCCACGTCTTGCGGTGGATTGCAACTGAGTGCATATGCCAAAGAATACTGATAGCTCGCCTGGACAGAGGAATCAGCTAATCTGTTTACATCAATCTTGCAGTGCTTCTGGACCCCCAAAACACATCTAGGTTTTCGCGCAGACCAGTGCATGATCTGAGCCAACGAAGGTGGACCAAAAGCACTTGCAGTCCAGTACGCTGTCACGCCATCTGAAACTAATTGCAATGTGATCAACTTGAGACCACGGATGTGTTGTCGAAGGGCGACGCCGCATTGCGGAACGCTACTTCATACGCCTGAAGTCAGTGTTCGAGAGAAACAGATGGTTGTCTTCGCACAATGTGAGAAGCGGTTCTCCGTTATCAGAGCGGTCCTCATCGAGCGCGTGATAACCACCAAGATGACATTCGTATGGTAACAGGTGGTCAACCCGTGCATGAAAATCCCCAGCAAGGATAAGGACATCAGAGTATTTAGCATTAGTCAAGAGCTGATGTAGATCCCGGTAGAATTCGTCCTTGAGCGAGTCGCCACTGCAGTCAGTTGCAGAGTGCACGGAGATCATATATGAGTGGCGTCTCTCTTCACGACGCTTGTTGATTCTACATGCACCCCGAAGCCGAAATGCATAGTCGGCTGTTAATCGGGAACCGGTCCAGTAGTGCCGCCTCGGCCTTGCCACTTAATGATATACCTACACCAGCCAAACTCGCTGAGACTGCTTCTGGATCTCCAGAAAGACGCAGGTGATATCTGGCTTCGTGGTCAC